CTGTTCCTCCGTTTTTTTCTGTGGCCTCTTGTTTGAAGGTGATGAGGGGATACTGGCATGCCAGCTACTTCCATCTGTGCCCTGCCTGCTGCACTGCCGCGCTCACTCCGGGATGCTGGCGGTGTGGTTCAGATCGCCTTGTTCTGCTCTTCCAGACAGTTTGCTCTATCAGTGCCAGAAGGTGATGGAGGAATCCTAGTAGCAGTAGTGCCTGCCTTACGCTGGTCGGGGGGTGAAAAGCACAGCACTGTGCAGTTGCACAGGTAATTACCAAAGCTAAATGAAGATAGGGCTGCTCGGAGGCGTTCCGAGTGCTCTCCCGGCTGGCACATGTCGTACGGACTTGTGGGGGAAGGGCGATGACCTGAACCGCGCCTGCCGACACACACTCAGGACTGTACAGGGACTGTACATTAAAGTGTGATTGCCCGCTGCAGTGAAATGTATAGTTCTTAATTTTGTTGTAAATGACTGAAAGTATTTATTTTTATTATGCAGCTTTTATAGATGCCAACAATTATTCCTCGCAGCAACTACGTAAATATGATTTTAAAGGCAACGTATCTCCGTGATGAGGCCGGACTGGGTCAGTTCTCAGGATCAGCTCGTTTTAGTTTGCTCATTTTTTCTAAAGCTATTTTTAGGCTCTGCCGGCAAAGAGACACAGATTGGTGGTTGTTAACACAACGTACGTAGCAACAAATGCACATTTTGAAAGCACTTTTGGTGAGCAACCCCTCTTCCCATCGTCTTTGATCCGTAAGGGTAACATCTAGGCTGTATGGAAGCACCTCCCAGGGAACAATCAGGTTGGTTCCTGTCTGCAGTTCCTCCTGCCTCACGCGATCGATGCCTCTGTCGAGCTTGCCTCCCTCTCTGAAAATCCAGCCACCTTAATTTATTTGGATGCTAAAGGAAAACTTTTAATACCGTTTAATATTATTTATAACTGGTCGCGTTTTTATTTGAAAGCGTCGCAAGGTTGCGCACGCGGGTCGGACACGGTGTAAACGGATTCTGCAGGGGAATCCTCTCCTCTCTGTGTTTTAATATTAACAAGGAAATTCTTTGTTGTATTTCAGCACTCTGGTTTCTCACCTGCCAGGCACTGGTTGTAAAGGAAAATAAAGTATTCCCTTACTTTATGATGATTTCATGAACATTTACCAAATCATTAGCAAAGATGTTAGTATGCTGATGGTTTCTTCTTTTTCCTCCTTATTTTGTGGTGGGGTTTTTTTTTTTACTACTTATTTAAAGTCCAGCAACTTGTGTTATCACAAGTATAATCATATAAACAAAGTTTCTTTTTTATTGCTGTTTCAGTGCCCTCTTCCTGAGGAATTTGAAGTGCACTGGACCTGTCAATATACTTAATGTTCTCCATACTGTAGTGTTTATTTGGCACTTCAAGGCAGTTTATATAAATGAGAACTGATTTATAGTGGAATAATTTCCAGCAAACTATTTCCCTGCTGGCAAACCAGACTTGAGCTAAGTAACTGGACTTCTGTAATGATATGAGCTAACAAGAGTATCTGTGGTCTGGGCATTCAAACCATTTCAGTAATGAGATGGTTCAGTGCCCTGTTGCTTAAAAACAGCAGCAAAAAGCAGTAACATCTTCTTCAGGTATTGTTCTTTATCACTGTATAAATACCTTTTTCACCGTATAAATAGTATATGTTAAGCTGTTAATGTACAGATTCCAAGAGCTTTATGGTAACGTAGCGTGGCTTGGGTTGGAAGGGCTTTCCTGTTGGCCCCTTCAGGTGCTGGAAGGTGCTATAAGGTCTCCCTGGAGCCTTCTCTTCTCCAGGCTGAACAAGCCCAACTCTCTCAGCCTGTCCCCATAGCAGAGGGGCTCCAGCCCTCTGAGCATCTTCGTGGCCTCCTCTGGACTCGCTCCAAGTGGTCAATATCCTTCTGATGTGGGGGGCTCCACAGCTGGATGCAGCGCTCCAGGTGGGGTCTCACCAGAGCAGAGTACAGGGGCAGAATCCCCTCCCTCGACCTGCTGGCCACACCTCTCCTGATACAGCCCAGGATATGGTTGACTTTCTGGGCTGCCAGCGCACACGGCCGGCTCATGTTCAGTTTTTCATTCCCCAGTACCCCAAGTCCTTCTCCTCGGAGCTGCTCTCGATCCACTCTCCACCCAGCCTGTCCTTGTGCTTGGGATTGCCCTGACCCAGGTGCAGGACCTTGCACTTGGCCTTGTTGAACTCCATGAGGTAGGCACAGTGCCACCTCTCCAGCCTGTCCAGGTCCCTCTGGATGGCATCCCTGCCCTCCAGTGTGTCACCACACCACACAGCTCGGTGTTGTCAGCAAACTGGGTCTTGAAGGGTTGACCTGTTCTCAGGGAAAGGGAAATAAGGTGTGTATGTAATCCAGTTGGCAGGAAGTCTCCTTTCAAGCAGCAACCAGAGGCCAGTCAGCATATATACTGACCTTTCCGAACTGGCAGGTCAGCAGGGTTTTGGACCAAAACCCCTGAGGTGCTGGGAGAGGCTACTGTTTTACTGCTCTGTACCACGGGCACCTTGGAGTTCTGGACATTCTGGAGTCCTCAACAGGTAAGTGATTGTCTTGGATCCACGTTTCAACTGTTTTGTCAGGTTCTCCCCCCTTACCCCAAGTATTTTCAGATCATTTTGATGAAACAAATACCTCGGTGGGAGAACTGGTGGTAGTGCAACGTGGCTGTACGATGCAGTAGGTTTTCCTAAGCACAGGTCAGATCTCCCACGGCATTATCTTACTCTGCACCAGGTATTCCCAACCCCTTCCCATCCTCTGGGATGTCGTTTCTCTGACTGACTGTTCGGTGCGCTGTGCCGTTCCAGGGTGCGTGTCCCATTTCGTCAGCGGGCCAGAAGCGCTCGCTCCCTGGGGCGTTTCTCGAACATGAACGTTTTTATGTAACGCAGTTGGCAGTGATGAAGCAAAGAATGTCGTGTCCTGCCATGACACGATTCATAAACTGACTGGACAGCAGTGTTCCAGCACCACTTAGGAAGATTGCTTTAAGCTTTCATTTTCGGGTAGTTGGCAGTTTTCTCTCCGTGCCAATCTTTACCTGCTTCCACTATAATTGCCGTGTGAGCTGTTGGCAAATCCTGAGCTCTTCCAGCTGAAACAGTTTGCCTTTTTTCTGGGAATAAGGGCAGGAGAATATAAGCTTGCTGCTGTTACAACATTCTGGTAGGTGGTAGCATCTCCCTGTTTAGGGCAGGGATTTGGAATCTGTTGGGAATGGGTCTCCTGTCCAACTGAAATCATGTTTAGCTTAACTGAGCTACATACGTTGTGGAAAACTTGCAGGAAGGTGCTTAGTGGAGCTGGATCTTGGAATGCTACGTCGGCTCTGGCCCTGATGCGGGCTGTGGCGGGGGAGAGGCTGGTGCCTGAAGGCAAGAACCTTGTGCCGTTGCCTCCGCCTGTCTTGTGAGGGAGTTCCTGAGCCCGGTGACAGAACTGTGCCGGTGAATGCCTGGAGTCAGCATGGTTTGTTAGCTTGCGGGCTTGGGAACTCGGTGGGGGGAAAACCAGAAATGGTGTTTGCTACTGATGCACGTCTGTGTGACGCAGCCGAAATGTGGATTTCCGGTTTTCTTTTTAACCCTTAAAGTGTTCATCTGCCTCCCTCCTCCCTCCACACAACCTGGTCATCAGAGAGCACAAAGGTTGCAGAAGTTGCAGGTGGCCAAACTTAAATGATGCAAATTCCCTCCTCTTATTTCAGTCAGAATAAGTAAATCGAAAGGAAACAAAAAGGGCAGTAATCACACACTTTTAATCCACAAATATGATAGTACATCATATACTTAAGGTGACCTGAACATTGCCCGTATTTTAGCAATGTTATTACAGACCAAGCTACAAGTACAAAAGTAAACAATGAATATGCAGGATATGCAAGTACAAGGAATACTGGGAAACATTCTCTTCCCTTAAGGCTACTCAGATTTATAAATAAACCAACAGATGTTCAGCTGGTGGGTCTAAAATACCAGGATCTGAATATTGATACTTGCAACACACAGAAAGAAGGTCACAGATACAGGATATCCTTTTCCTTTGGGCATCTTGAATGTGGAATAATCTCTCTTTAAAAAAAAAAAAATCCCAAACTCAAAACTTTGCCACAAGTGAAACAAACACGCAAAGTCTGACATGTGCACTGGGATGGGAGTGTTGGATACAAGAAATACGGCTGAAAAGCATCGGTGGACAAGGGCATGCTTGGGAAAAACGCGGCGAAGGGCGGGTGTCAGTATGGCTCTGCGAATGGCTGGGCGTGCCATCCCCCGTTTCCTCTCTGTGCCGTGCTGCAAGGGAGTTGTCCACCTTCACTGCTGCTAAACAGACTTTTTTTATGGCTAAAGGCAATAGGTTGGGGACACCTACATCGCTACAAGCTGCTCTGCTGCCCTTACGGCTGTGCTCCAGAACGAGCTCTTCTGGGAACGGGTAGAAATCCTCTAGCACACCCCAAGTGGATACGTGATCTGGGTATGCGCAGTCTCAGCGGTCTAAGTGTGTGACAGTCGAATTGGTTGTTGCGAGAGAGAAATTACAGCTATTCTGGGGTGAGGAAAGGCAGAAGAAGAATAAAATTTTGCACAGTTTTCTCTACCACTGTAGTATTTAAGAGTTTAAATGAGAAACATAAATTTTTCTTACCCTAAAGCAATGAGTGATTGACGTCCTTAGATGGGAATGGCTTTCTCTTGTCTGCTGATTCCAAGAGAATGGTATTCTCTTGTCTTTGCTGATTTTCAAGTACATGCATCTCTATTCTAATACGTGTGATATGGAAGGTTTTACCCCCCGAGAATGGGATTGTCTGCTCTCTGTGTCAGCTGAAGGGAGCTAGATAAGGGGTGCGTCAAGGGGGAGAGGGCAAGGAGAGGAGAGATTTCCGGACACGCTTCCTCTGCTCAGGGTCAGTCAGCACCTACCCAACTGCAAGGTTCTGCGAGTGGCAAGCTGGTGTACCCACTCTGCTCCCGTTCTCCCTTAATCCGAACAGAACTGTCCAGACACCAGCATGGCTTTTCAAAATGTCTTCAGTTTGAGGGCTTCTCTTCTAAAAAGAGTCACTGAAAACATTCTGACCACACATTCATTCTTGAAGCTCGCCAGGAGCGCTAAGCCCGTTCTCCGAAGCCACCGTGGATGCACCCCACTTGG